CCTCCTGAAGGAACCAGCCATCCCCAGTCCATGATGTTATTAGATGATGTTGTCTTTGGAAGGGCAGAAAGCTCACTAACGATAAGAAAACCACATGCTTTAGCTCGTGAATGGTTAAGATAACTTGTAATCAAAGACTGTTATTTACAAAAAAAGATTAAGAAAATGTGTGCAACAGTTCCTCAGTAAGATCAATACTTACGTTTTGGTAAGGGTAAATCTTGAGTTCTTCATGCCCAATGGCTCTAATAAAGATTGATTCATCCATGTTTTGTAATCTMCCCCTCGTCCAAAGGCTTTCGCTAATATCTGGCCAAGCAAGGACCAACCTAAGTTGCTAACGAAAGCWATGGAATCAGTTGCAAGTAATCGATAACCTGGATAACCTCCTCGATAACCCATTACGTTTTGTACAACTCACACAGATATAATATATCTTTCCCAAAATTCGATCTGTCAAATAGGGTCCACATTACCTTTGAAATTGATCCATAAACTAATCAAAGATATGCAAAGAAATAGTGCATTATCTCAAAAATAATATGACAATATATTATTACCTATATTGTGGTTCGGTGCCTGGTCTTCTTAGTAATGTTAGCTTGCTTATTCTTCGAAGCATGGTAGAGTAGTTATAAGGGCATAAATTAGTAGGAGTTGCTGGGTAGCATGGTGCCTCTCTTTGTAAACCAGAGCGTTGAGATGCAATGTCTCTGGAAAAGATGCTGTGAGCTTAAGATTGGAATAGTCCTAATGAATTACTTATGAAAGATTGAAAAATTACAAATTATAAGAAAATGAACGCCGTAAAGCATCAAAAACAAAAAAGCTGGCATATGGAGATTTAGAAAGGATAAACATGGTCTCTTGACAAGGGTGGAAGAACCGGCGATATAAGGGTCGACGTCTGGGCGTACGTAGTCCCATCTCAACTGCATTCTTTAACACTGGTATCATACAATCCAAAATAACATACAACATTGCTGAATGTTCGTTTTACCTTAATGTCATGTTACTTTGATAAGGATTTCTTATGGAGAATTCAGGCTCATAGTAATTGATGGGAATGTCCAATGATGGTATTAGACCTTTGCTGTGCAGTTTGAAAAGCATTAAGGACTGAAGGAAAACGAAAAGATTCAAATATAAAAATCTTCATCATTCGATATCGAAATAGATATAATACCGAAAAGACCTACCGTGAGGATCTTTGTTAGACTTGCGCATGGATAAATTGTCCTTGAGGTAGGAGATTCGCTAGTGCTGTTATTTGGATTCATGACACCAAATCCCCCTTCCCAAATTACTTTGTCCAGATACACAAGATTCGCACTCAAGGCTGTCTGGAAAAAGACAAGAATGTTGAAATTCAATTTTTGTCATGTAAATCCTTCATGAAGCATCATCGGCAGTATCAATCTCATCAAAATATCGACTCCAGCAACTGTAAAATATATATATATATCTCCAAATTACTATTATAGCTATTTAGTTGCACTTGTAAAGACGGTCTACTGAGTAGAGGTTCTTAGTCTTAATTGACAGCAAGATAATAAAATAAACACTGATCCAATTTCGAATCTCCTTTCTCGTGCATAAGTTACATAGTTACTGATCTAGACAACCTCTCTCAAACGTTTCGTTGATTGATGCAACAACATTTGAAATTGCCTTTCACCAAATCGTTTATCAAATATGCATATTTCGAAAAGGTCACCGAGCGCCATTATTATACCATTATACTCAAAAAATATATAAAAAACATGACACGTGAAAGGCAAAAAGGTGTTTTTTCGCTTTTTGACAAATTTATTCAGTATGGAATGTTAGAAATTTTTTAACGCATGCGCAGTAGTTGACCTGACATGCATGTGACGCCTGTACCAGTGTGYTMTGCAATGTGGTCTCTCAAGACTCYTTGTCCCGTTGATATCGTTTAATTAGGGTAAACTTCTTATGAATAACACGAGGGAATTCAAATACTCCCTCATTAAATATAGATGAGGAAAAATTACTTCTAATACTTCTTCATCCGTAATTAATTAATGAGTATTTATAACTAATTTTCCCACATGTTATTCATTTAGTGATTAATCGTCAGTCAAAGGACAGTCGATGCCAAGGTGATCATATGTTATTAAATTTTTAAGATTGCAATTAAACGTTCTTACCGCTTGCCTTTTCTCAATTTCTCTCTTTATAAATCTATCCAAGTCTTCAAGTTGTTTCTTCACATTTAAAGGTAGTGTTCTAAAGTTTACAGGGTCGGCCATGAATTTGCACATCTTGACATCTTTGTGTGCTTTCTGCAGATAATTAAAGAAGTGATGATAGAAATGTACATCCATGTATCTAATGAGGAGTTCATTGATGTTGTTCATGATGTGATATACTGGCATGGGATCCTTTAGGATATTAGAATATCTCACTCGAAACACGTTCATTTTACCAAAGAAAGAAACCAGTGTCTTGAGAGTCATGCGTTCTATTCCGTCTTGTACCTCAGCCCTGAGCCACATAGATATGTAACCTGATTCAAACTTCACTATCCAGGGTTTTTACTTTTAAGTAAAGTTCAGTGGTATGTATTTAGTTTCGGCATGGCGTATCGCCTTTTCCACATGCAGCATACATCTGTTTTTCAGTGAAATAGAATGTGAATAGTGCTCAATTTTATGTGCGACTAGGAGCTAACTAGGCCATTTCACGGATAACTCAGCCATTCGGAATTGAATAGCTACAATGTAGTGAGTTGGTATATTTACAAAGTTTGAGAATAATCAGTTTAAAATTCGAGATATAGTTTCTCAAATTCACAAAATATTACAAAGAAATGTATGTTGAGGGTGAGTGGTCAGGTTACAACCTCACTGTACAGTTCTTTGTAAAGTTTGTTGTTTTTGAAGTGATGCATATTCTTCTTGACTTTTCTACGTATTGTTCTCAAACTTCGTAAATCTACGGATTTACTCCTGGCAGTGATTGTAATGATTTTCACTAGCTACTCGATTTCGAATGGATGTTATCCGTGAAATTGTCAAGGAAAGGTCATTTTACCTTGATAAAACGAGTTCCTTCTCTCTTTCTCAACGCAACCCAAGCCAACAATCCACTTAGTATCAAAGAAAGTATAACAAAGAAAGCCAGTAAAGAGAGCAGAAGTCCTTTTCTGCTAACCAAATGTTTTCTTTTTCTAGATTCCTCTTTTAGGATGAATTTTCCTTTTGATCCGTTGCGGAGCGAGTCCTCGCCCAGTGCATACATGCTTCCAGAGAGGGGCTCCACATTCACGAGTCCGCCAAGAAGTCCACCATTTCTGTAGTTGTCYAATTGCGTCAATTCAGCTTCTGAACTTTGTTGTCCAGCTTTACTTTCAACTAAAAACAAAAATAAAAAATAGACTTAAACTAAGCCGAAGATCATTCCTGGTGGCCGGCAAGAGCTGATAATATAGTGCTTGACCGAGRTAATTTCATTAAAAACGATCATCCAAGGGCTAATGTCAAGCGAGTGATTTTAAGCATGGAATGCAACTATTCTATTTATAATGAAGATAAGTTAAATCTGTTCCAGCACATGGTGCTAAGGTGTACTGATAAAACTGTAGTTTCTCTTCTATTTTAGTAACTTATGAAGAATTTGATGGAGCATGTGGCCGGCTGCTGTTGGAGTAAATCTGCGCTACCTTGATGGCAAATGCCCAAAGATAACTCTTAAATACGAATAAAGATATACATCGGCACCGATTTGACGCCATTCAAAAGACTTAGTGTTTTATTACCAACATCAGTTCAGATAGCATTAAAGGTTCAATGATTACATGACTGAAAAACTATCGAATCTGAACCTATAATCTGCTTTTGCAGGAAATCTTATATGAACCTTTTTGAACTGACTGGAATAAAGTAGAGCTTCTTCCACTTATTTGATGACAGCAAAAAAACATCATGAATAGATGGCTGAAATAGAAGGAGCAAATAGAGAACATTAGCATACGATTTTATTTGATGTATCTAACTTGATGGTTTCAACCAGGTTAGGGTCGCAAAGAAAACTCCAAAAATGAAAAAGTCTGAAAGAGCTGAGAGGAAACAAAAAAATGGCTTTCTCATCGCTCTGAATAAATGGGCTTTTATGGCAATTCATATTATTATAATCAAACACCAGGCAAATTTTAGGAAGAACTGATCTAAAGGCATAATTTGTCTTACAAGGCAATTGCATACACACAATGTTGTCCAAAATCTTTGTAGTCTGTGTAGTTTTTAAGCACCCGTGCGCCATACTTCTACATGTACTTCTCCAAATAAACATGACGTCATATGAACAAAGACTTTGTATAGTGATATGTTTATAAATACTGTTATGGGTCATTAACTGCTTGCTTTATCTCTGATAAATATCAATGAATCAACAATAAATTGCCGAATTCTGATAGGAGTATTAGTCTGAGGCGGCTTTCTTCAAGAGCTTTGCTACTTGATAAGACTAAAAATTATAATGAAATCAAAACAATGTCAAGATGTTTTTGCGGCTGGCATTTCTTGTTTTGTCTGTGTAATACCTAAAGAACGAGTAAGTAATCACAGCTTCTTCAAGTACTCCTCCATTCTCAGGCTCATATTTCTGGTCGCCTGTTTATAGCATATAGACACTGTTTCTGTCGGTATATTCCCTCCTCTTGTCTAGTCCTGAGTGCTCTAGTTTTCCTTCCTCTGTCGAAAACTCACGAAATGTACTAAAATAGTTCATTCAAAAGGAGCACAACGTCCAATGTCCAATGTCTTTGGACTTAGGTTCCAGTACGAGCCAGAGCCGAGCACGGGCTTTGAAGTCTTGTTTGTTCTCTATTTTTATGAATATTTTTCATACAATGTGCCATACGCAGCTAGTAGTCAGACCGTAGACGTCTTTTTTGAAAATTCAGACATATCATAAGTAATAGTTTTAAGCATGGCATGAGCTGCGTACCTTTCTTGATATTTATTGGTTAACGCTGCCAATGACTGACAAATATACATTTGAATGGGTGTCCACGTGGTAACTTAGATAAATAGATACATCGCAAAACCACCAAACATCTATTTTACCATGGTATGAATCATCACGCGAGAAAAAATCGAATTTAATGCATTTTTTATCAGAGAGTGTTGATTGAATGAAGCCCGCAATCGATCTCCTCTTTTGAGTCTATAAGCGATTAGAATCTTAAAACATTTAATTCAAAGATACCCTTTGAAATAATTTATGGATCTGTTAAAACTCTGAAACAATTTTGATATTAAATGAAACAGTTACATTGATCTAACATCTTTTGTGATTTGATGTATGGTATCAATAGAGTATACTTGTAGTGCTGAGCTCAATCAAATCAATTTAAAACACATCACGGCCATAATTTAAGCGATGTCACCTACTAAATATTTCACTATCTAAATCATAGTACTTCCTACTAGCTTCTTAACAAAAAGCATTATTGTAAACTCATTTGAAGTTGCTTAACTTTGCTCAATGAATTCAAACGAGTATTTACGTTGAATGTTATCATTTTTTTTTATGTGTATACATGAAAATGAACAGAAGAATTCTTTTCTAAGATAAGTGCATACTTAATCATGGTAAATGTTACAGTGGTTGCATATAAGTTATAAATATACAAGCCACAAATCGTGTAATAATTGAAGTGTTTACCGTCGTTAGCTGCCATTTGCTCTAGGATTAAACCTGATTGATGCCAAGACGCACGATACACTCTTCTTTCMTCTAATYAAATTACCMKAAAGACTTCACTGTTTTACGTAATCTATTATCGGATACAAAACTGATTAAAGATCCGTATTTGTCTGAGCTTGTCTGGTGGAAATTATAATAGAAATTACACAAAAGCGATGGTGCGTTTGAAGGAGCTGCAATATCACCCCTTGGATTGACCTCCGAACAAGCTTACCTTTCAGTATACGTCTGAGAATCATGACAAAAAATGCAAAATCGCCTGAAGTACCAGCATTGTCAGACTGATTAAAACCTGATCATTGCAAATCTCCTTTTTCACTCTTTTATTTTCATTTATTTTCATTCATCTTTACTTGTTTTTATTTAATGGTAAGGTGTTGTTTACAAAGCATATTTCTATATTATGATGATTTGAAATACATCGAAAAAATACGGTAAAATAGTAGACATAAACAACAACAGTGCGAACAATGATATAGTAACATAACAGATATRCAGGTTCACGGTCAGCATGTTGATTTAAAACACAGGTATCCCAAGGAGTACAGTTTATCAAAGAATACAATATTTCGCACATAGACAGTCTGTCCACACTGATACGCCTTCGTAGCGTTGTTGTAGCACTTTTGTATTGTTCTTCGTTTCTATATTAATAACATATATATATATGATAATAATACAATAATAAGATGATAATAAGATATTCCAAAACGCTACGATAAAGCATCAGTTTATATACAACCAAGTGTTCAAGGGCTGTTGATTGACAGTAAGCGACTGTGCTGGGGGTTGGAATATCACGAACGATAAGAATGTTGTGATGGGAACTTCATGGAAATCGCTGCCTCTCATCGACCAAAATGAAGGTAATTGACCTCGAGTCAAGTGATCCCTCCAAAGCCGACAAGATTACTGATCATGCGCGCATTTGTTAGAGTTTCCTCTGGTATTAAAAAAAAAACTAGAAAGCAATAACCCGAGTTGATGCCGTCGCGTCGATCTGTTATATTCAGATGGCAAATTGGGATATAAAGGTTAAGTTAATTCATTTCTGCTTTCATAACTGAATTTTTATTTCATCAAAACAGTACTTTTTTAGTGGGAAACATTCAATTGCCACATTTGAATTGTGTCTTCATTCAGCTAAATATTTTTATTTCTATAATATTTTTAGTCTTATCAAGTAGCAAAGCTCTTGAAGAAAGCCGCCTCAGACTAATACTCCTATCAGAATTCGGCAAATACAGTTCATTTTATATTACTAAAAGATGGATGTAACAGTAAATCATCAAGTGAATGTAAGTACGTGACGGTGTTGAATCAGTGGGTTTCCCATAGATGCTTGCAATAGTTTAGATAATATTCTCAGGCACTAAAATAATCCACCCATAATATGTGATAACAGGCGTTGCCTGGGGATAAGACAATGGAGGTAATAGAAAAGATCCTCTCCTGTCACCTATCACCACGTTCAGATGGGTTATACTTCATGAGCTTTTGGCAAAGGCTTGTATCATGCAAAAAAACGCCGTTCGCTTTTGCCGACTGCAATATATGGAAATTGAACAGAAATGGAGGAGTGGATTAATCGTCGATAAATCATTTGTCTACCACTGAAAACTGATGAAACTGATATTTTTCTGAAGTCGAGGAGTACAGCCGTTAGTGAACGTTCTGAAAAAGACTCTAAAAACTAGAATATCTTATCGTAGAATTTTCTTATCTTTTGACTGATTGTGGCTGCTTAGCCTTACCTAACTTTGTTTATATTATTTTTTAATCTCATTACTGTGATGATTACAATGATTAGACCCACCCATCCAAGAGCCTTTGCGCGATTTTCTGACATACGATAACTATGAAATTCGCCATCTTTTGATTTTGAACAACAGAAAACATAAACAAAAGATTATTTGCAAAGCAAAAGGTTATTTCCAATCGAAAAGGTTTTTCGATAAACCTTTCAGGGATAATGGGTCTTTTCTCAGACGGAAAATGCTTATATTTGGTATTGATGCGTGCTCTTGTTAATTTGCCGTGTTCTCTTGGCGTCCATGAGACTATGTCCTTTAAAATGAGGTGAATTTGACACTGCATTTGAGTTGAGTGTTAAGATACTAAAACCATCTGATGTTTGCTACTATTAGCACCAAAACTTTCGGGTATCCTCACAAACGTGCAAATTGTCCGCACCAGGCTTTTGACAGTGAAGATTTCAACTATCATGACAATGTTGTCAAGTTTTTACTCCACCTTGAGTTAAGTTAATCTTTTTGTTAGTTTTGTTGCCGTCGTTGTGGTAGTGGTTACCYTTGTTGTTGTTATAACGGAACTGTTTTGGTTTTTAYAGTACAGCATCAATGTTACTTATCATACATAATGACATATCCTTGAAGTGACATTTTTGAGATTTTGTATCGGGGTCACATAAATTGATCACTCGCCCCTCGATATATTTCATCTTCAGTTACCGATTTAACAAAACAAAAATCCATAGCCTAAGGTAAAAGATGTTTGGAATCGTAGCATTTACCGTCTTTATCTACAAACTTGAAGGTGGTAAGTCGCTGAAAGCTTACTTGTTTGATGAGTTCTAATCATTAGGCTTTGTTTGGTACAACTATGAATTGTTTTTTCTTGTAAAGGTCGTCATATGCTTTGTCAAGCACTGTGGTTTTGCATGTTTTTGTAAACTGGTTGAATCAAACCTAGTTTTGTATTGAGGCATAGTCAATTTATTCGAGAAACACTTATTGAGGGATTCTTATCGACGAAAATGAACCATCAAATCTTTGAATGGATAATAATTCATAATTTTSAAAATGGAACTTGTTGGGACGTGATTTTTGAATAGAGACTAATTGTCTCTATCCAGCTTAGCTGCAGTCATCTTTCAGCATGGTTACTGGTTAAGATGCGCGTGATCAGCTTTTTGTGGCTAGTGCCTAAGAGGCGCTAGCCATAAT